GACCGAGGAAGAAGCGAGCGACCCAGAGTCCCTCCTTTGACTTGACCGCGGCATGGCATGCCAGAGTGATGCCCCAAGTCACCTATTGACTTAGCTCATTACTGTTCAAAGGGGTTGGAGTATTTACCATGATTCGCGCCTGGAACCTCGATGGGAGCATTTTCTTCATGATCAGGTTGGACGGGATCTCGAAAATAATGAACGGTATCTAGCAGACGTGTTAGATCAGGATCATGGAAACCAATAGCTATTGAGGTGACGTACATAATACAACGTGCTGACGAAGTTGTAGTCGTCGCCAGTCATCTTCAGTTCAGTGAGGATGTTCCGGGGTGTTCCACGATTCATGATGCGCGCGTGCGCAGCCTAAGCCGAATAAGCCTCTACCTTCAACAACACTTGTCGAATCGAAACCATCGGTTTCTTAGACTCACATTGTTCGCATCGACATTTTTGACCATGAAAATAAGGGCGCATAGCACCATAAGGTGCCAATCAACACGGCGCAACAGCTTCTTTTCCTCTTCATAGGACAGAAGACTGCGATCCTTCATCCGCTGGTGGTCATATCCGGGGATCTCAGCGGCGGCCTCGCCGTCAATTGGGGCGGCCCTGGGCTGGACATGTAAGTCACCCTCCGCCGGAGAGACCTGGGTCGAAAGGGTAGGGTCTGTCTTCTCAGTGGCCTGGGCTGCCATGGCGAAGATGCGAATCAACAAACAGGATAAGCGATGGAGTGAAAGTGAATGAATGGACCGTGAGTACCCGGAGAGCTAGACTACATGACGTTCTTCATATAAGCGCTTCTTGTCTGAGTACCCAGTGGGTATTGGGGCAAATCTTTTGGAATTGGCAGAGCAGTTCATCACACACATCCCATGTTCTTTGGACATTGGCCAGCCGTTGTCAACATGCCTGTCCGTCCTCCTGAATTGTCACCATGGTGTGTGGATAGAAGAATCTGTTGGAACGAGTTCTCTCCTTGCAAATTTTCTATCAGATGAACCATGAACTATAATATGATTGTCTAATTAGGAAGGCGCCGGATCAGCTCTTGTGGCAGGGTGTTGAGGTGGTAGAGCTGCGTCCTCATCATCTTAGACGAAAGCTCGGCCACCGAGGCAAATTTCTTCGGCCGAGCTGGAAGGCTCTGTTGGACCAGGGTGCTACGCTACCCGGATGGGCGGCGACTGCGACGTTACTTACAGGCGATGTACATGCAAGTATCTTGAACCTGCACATTCACTGGCCGCACCACAACACTACGAGCGCCTTGATGATCCCAAGTAGATCGTGCGGACAATGTGTAATCAGATTCATTGATTGATAAGATGCATTTCACTCACAGTGATAAGATTCAACAGACTCGGGCCATTGGCCGTTGTACACGCAACTCACACCCCCACCACTCCCCCAGGATATTCCACAAAAACGGCGCATCCCCACATCCGTATGCTTAATCGTGAGCATCCATTATTGGCATGTCTTGGAAACTCTTAGCGTTCAAATCTTATTCGAGAACCCTTTTGACCGGTGCCCACCAACTTCACTCCTTACACACATTTTCCACTCCCCTCAGCTTTGCCCTTGCTTTGCGACGCGAATCGGCGGTCTCGATCGCCGTGTTCCCTTAGACGCTAACATGGAAATAGGAGTCAACTCAGTTTTCGATCTGGTCATATCATCCGAGCACGGCTCCATCGTCGGTCACCAAAAGAAACACATTTACTTCAGTCAGAAGAGGGACAGCACTGGTGACAAAAGAGTTACCCAGTTTTAATGCATGAATATTCACTAAAATGCTCCTAATGTAACATTATTCGCTCGCATAGCTCTCTCACCTCACCCTGACTAGTGGGTGACAGAGCTCACGGACTGCCCCTGGTAACCTTGAGAGAGCGGCTGCCCGCAGGGATCCTCCAGCTGCAAGCCCACCTCACGCATAGCCCGAATCCCGCCGTTCATACTGTCTGCAGCGTATCCCTTGGCTCGCAGAACACTGGTGGCAACGCGAGCAGAGTCTCCATCGTAGCAAATGATGAGCGAACGCTTGTCGCGGAGCTGAGAGCAGATGTCGTCATTCTCGGAGCTAAGCTTGGCCTCAAGCTCTCGCCAAAGCGATGCCAAGACCTTTGGATCTGAGAAGGGGCTTGGAGTACCGGCTTCGATGAGCGGGAAGTTGACAGACCCCGGGAGACTGAACTGGTCGAAGTCCTCGGGCTGACGCAAGTCGACCACAATGGTGTCTGGTGACGGGGCTACAATCTTCTCCCAGCCTTGTCGCTCATTTGACCGTCTCTTCGACACGAAGAAAAGAAGATCTCTTGTCAGGATCTTGTCCAAGTGGTAAAAGTCGTTGAGGGCCACCAGAGGATCCTTTTCCCAGGCCGAGTCGTATCGGTAGAGGTCAACACCACTCAATTCCTAGGCGCCCCGTAATTAGCGAGATGCACCGTACCGCAAGGACAATGAACACCAACGACTTACCGAGTTTGTAATCGGAGGGAACTGCTTGGAGTCTAATTTGTCGAAGTATTCGTCCAGGTATTGGTACGGGAGATCGCAACACAAAAAGACGCAGTGAATTTGACCGTCTTGCCCTGCAAGCTCATTCAATGTCCCATTCTGCTTTCTTTTCTCGATGAGCTGGAAAAGTCCTTGGAGGTTGAATCCGGACGAGGGACCGCAAACAATGCCGTTGCGGCACAGCTCCAAAGAAAGCGAGAATGAGGGGTGGGATGCGACCTCCTCAATGTGGTCGACAGCTGACTTCCAGGGGAAATTGACAGGAGCCAGGAGAGCCAGGGACCGTGGCCCTGGAACTCTGTCGCCTGCAGCAGTACACACGCTGCGGATGCTGTTAGAAATCACTGCGAAGCTGATCCGTTGAATTTCTTACCCCAAACGGAAAACAGACGGGCTGTTCTCCTTGAAAAAGGTGCCTAATCCTGACATTGTACCTGTGCACAACAGTGTTAGGGCCGCAGTCTTCAAAAGAAGCTGAAAGTCTTTGAAGACAAGACGTACCAGAGGTTCCCATTCCTGCGCAAATCAGGCTAATTTCGGGCAATTGTTCCAGAATCTGCGGGCATGTCCATCGCATATGAGATTTCCAGTTCTTGTTGGCTCGATCAGTAGCTGTAATACGCCCATAACGCTTGATAAGATGTCTCACCAGATCGTTGTTGTATTGGTCGGGGTTGACAACGGATTCGGATTCCTGTGCCCAGCGGTATGCCGCTCGAATTCCGCCACGCTCGTCGTTCGGTTCCGGTTGGGAAGGACCGCCGAATAAAGTACTGTTACAAGGCCATAGTGAGCAAAGTTATGTCTCACCGGGAACCATTCAAACAAACTCGAGATCGCCCCACTTACAGTTTAAGACCAAAGAATTGCATCAGTTTCAACTTTGCCGATGTCGTCTTATTGCTCAGGAAGGCGTGCACATCTCCTAGGTCGTAGAGCACGCGTGACATCAAAGCCATGGAAATGACAGTTGAACCAGAGCTGTATTCAACCACGGTTTTGGTCTTGTCGGGAGCAACCCCATGCTCAAGAAGATTGAGGGCTTTTGTTGAATCCGACATTAGCAATTCGCATTCGGTTTCCCAAAATATCATTCCGACATAATTACCTGGCATAGCTTTGACATTGTTTGCAGGGTGCATAGTCATCATCTTGGCGTAGATACGGATGCCATCTTGTCGGTATGGATTGAGGGCGTCGGGAAGCTCCACAAGCGGCAATGGTGGTGCCTTGTCAGGATTGAAGTAATCCTTGACAGAGTCGGGGCCCTTATAAACGTTGAGATTGTTTCGTCCCGGCATATCGAAGTTGTAGTAATAAGAAAAAGATGTGTTGTTGGGAGATTATGTCGAGGAAGGTAAAGTTCGGAAGCATTCAGCTGCAGCTGCAGAAATGATAGACAATAATTTTGCTCCTGTGGAAGGACGTTGCACTCAGGACAACAGATCTCAAACCTTCAAAGCAAAGCGACTGCCCTTGATATTATTGCAGGTTCCCAGCTGACCACAGACAATTAAGCATAACCACGGACGATACGTCTGAACAATACGTCCGCTTACATGCCCAATGGAATCACATCACGTCTTCACCACGCTCTACACTTGTCAATCGCGTGTGGCAGGGGTATAGGAAGCTACGAGTGATTCTCGCCGACAGAAACCGATCACACAAAACAAATGGCTCAATGGATCAAACATGACTCAACTATGAACCTGTCACCTGTGGGAAGTTCATGATGAAGCTTTCCATACACGAAAGGGTTGTGATCGAATGGGTCCTGAACTGCATACCCCAGTCCCGAATTGACATTCCGCCGCCCCCCCTTGACCTATGAACGCTGTGGCGGGCATGTCCGATAACACCGAAGGGATCCTCTCTTCGCCGAGTGCGACCTGCTATTGCTTGTTCTGCATGATGATCTGCATAACCACAGAAGGCCCGTCCCATCGACCTACTAAAATCTCAGGGTGTGCAATTATAAGGCAAAGACCTTCATGAATACGCGCCGTTGAGCGGCGTCCCTGGCGATGGAGGCAGAGTCGCAGCAGGCACCCCCACTCTCACGACACATGCCGCGTGGAACAAGGTCCGCCCATGACAGCAAAATCGATGAATAGCGGTAAAGCTCTTCATTAAACTCAAAAAAGGAAAACACGGCAAGCTAAGCGCAACATCATTAGCAAATACTTTTGACGTTCCACTATTATTGACCGTGACGCTGTGCGTGCTACGGCGAAATTCTACACTGCTAGTCTACCAAGGGTCCGCCAAGACCTTCTCAATGATCTGCCACGTCATTCAAGCTGTCTACAGAACTTCACGTTCGTCCCTTGAAGTTCTCTGGGGTATAATTTGGTCCCAGATATCGTGTAAAGGCAGCATCTAGGTAGTGAGCGAAAGAATATACTCCAGCTTCTACCGCATCTTTGTTGGAAACCCCAATTTGCGCGTCGTACCGCCTTTACTTTCTAGCTATGAACGAGAAACCTGATCCAGCTGACAGCAGCCCTCGGGAGGCTGGGGGCATCATTACCAACACCCCCGAGAGCTCCCAGACGCCGGAGACTGTGATGGAATCGCCAACGTCCACAGACAAAAAATCAGAGGCGCACACGTTCAACGAGCAGACAAATTACGTGTCGAAGGTCAAAGTCATCACGGTAGGTTGCCCCGCCTCAGAGGATTCGACTTCAACCCCCTGTTTGCTGTCGCGACAAATACTTACAAGAAAAGATTTTCCTGGCATGCGCCAGCGTAGACCTGGTAGCGCTCATGGACCAGACCACCCTGGCAGCTAGCTTGTCTATTGTTGGCAATTACCTTCATGCAGGGCAACAGCTATCCTGGCTCGCTAATGGTTACTTCATGTACGTTTTGTTCGCTTGAAGAGGGCTCTCGCTGATTGATGCGTCCGCATAGCACATCCACAGTTGGGCAGCTCTTGTACGGCCGCCTCTCGGACATATGGTCACGCAAGGTGATCCTAATGGTCGGACTGGCCATCTTCGGCCTAGGGTCGCTGGCATCTTCTCTGGCGCAGACGGCTACCCAACTCATCATTTTCCGTTGTTTTACGGGTCTGGGCGGTGGCGGGCTCATGACAGTTGCCCAGATGATCGTCAGCGATGTGGTCCCTTTGCGCGAGAGAGGGAAATACCAGGGTATTCTGGCAAGTTCCTCCGCTCAAGATTCCACTTCCACCCCAGACTCCCTTCCCCGCCACGGTATCAGATTTGATCAGATTTCTTTTCTTCCGAACAGATGAACATCCACACCCCCCTCCCCTGCACAAGTGACCCTCTACTAACACCTCGGTTCCTTCAGGGCGCCGTCACTGCACTAGCTAACGGAATAGGTCCCGTCATCGGCGGCACCCTATCCTCCAAAGGCGGCGACTCATGGCGCTGGATCTTTCGCCTCAACCTGCCCCTGACGGCACTGTCTGCAGTATGCGCCCTGTTTTTCATGCCACTGAGGAAGGTCACTGGGGACTGGAAAGTGTAAGTAGTCTCCTGTCAGTGGTTGACGGGAAACGAAATCTGAGCGGAGCTCCGCTCGGTTGAAGCCCCTCGTGAAGTCGCACTCGAGCTGACCACCAGCATCCCGATGTAGGAAGACACGAGCCATCGATGTCGTAGGCATCTTGCTTGCATTGGCTGGCACCACCAGCTTGATGCTTGGTTTGACTTGGGGTGGTGGCGAGTACCCCTGGGCTTCCGCAGCTGTCCTTACTACCCTCCTCGTGGGTTTCTTCATCTGCGTCGTCTTTGTCTTGTGGCAGTGGAAGGGGCCGAGATACCCGCTCGTACCTCGTAAGATCCCATAGTCCCCCTGACCACGCCTATAGGACTAACCTTTATCCCTTCGAATTCCACAGTGGACATTTTTCGCGCTCGCATGACCATCGGTGCATGCATCACCATGGCTATTAACGGGTGGAACTTTGTCGTTCAGGTCTACTACATTCCCACCTTCTACCAGCTGGTCTACAACTATGGGGCGACTAGATCTGGTGTCATGCTGCTTCCTATCACCCTCGTGCAGACTGCGAGCAGTACCCTCTCGGGACTCATAGTCCACTGGGTGGGACGTTACCGCGAGTGCATCTTGTTCGGGTGGCTCTGCTGGTCGGTCGGTCTAGGCCTCATGTCCACCCTCGACGAGACTTCTGGTCTAGGAAAGCAGATCGGTTATTCCCTGCTTATTGGTGTGGGTGTGGGAAACACCCTTCAGCCGTAAGCATCAGTGCTTCGCCCGATCACTATGCTGTTTACTGACGCGGTCCTCGGCAGAGCTCTGGTTGCCATCCAGGCGGGCGTTCCAAGAAAGGATATGGCCGTTGTCACATCCTTCCGCAAGTATGTCATCCCTCCGCTCTGAGATGAAGATGTACTGGTGATACTGACACCGGTGGGATAGCTTTGTGAGGAACTTGGGGGCCACATTTGGGCTTGCCATCTGCGGCACAATTTTGTTTGTCACCTTCCCAGAGGCGTACATAGCCCGTTCGATGACACCATATACTGACAATTCCAAGGAACAACATCGTCAAGAGCTCGGTCAATGATCTAGATCTAAGTGTGGAACAACGCGATTCGCTTCTCAGTAACCCACAGCAGTACATATCGTCGCTTTCTGATGAAGATGCACAACGTATCAGAGCCGTTCTCGCGCCCGCGTACCAGAAGTCTTTCAAGGTCATTTTCGAGCTTGGTTCTGGCTTAGCAGCAGGAGCATTCTTCGTAGCATGGTTCTTGATGCCACACATTGACTTGTCCCGCCCCGACGATCACAAGTTGAAAGAGGAGGGTCATCAGGCACAACTGAAAGAAAACGCTGACGCCGCAGAGAAGTCTCCGTGATCGGCGAGATTGAACAACATTGAGCTACATTTTCAACAATGACCAGGATCGTCGGAAGGAGGGCTTCGGCGATAGTAGGCTGGTGAAGACTTTTGGCGTAGGGCGGAGTTGTGTTGAGTTTTTCGACTCAGTAGGGCAAATTTGTACCAAAGCTCATGAGTAGCGCTAGAATGGGCTTGACTTGAAAATCTACAATATTGCCGAAGTACGTTGCGTCCACGTGTGTTGGTGGAGGGGCAGGCTGAAAGAATACGTCTGGTCTCTGGTACCTCAGCTGAACATGAAGCCATATCCCACCGGCTGCCACATCACTTACCAGTAAGATCGACGCTGATGCTGCGGCAACACCACGGCCTTGATTCGTGACAAAAATGCTCGGAAACTATCACTGTGCTAAACCTGCTGACACAAGACCCTTGTTAGTTTATGATTAGATTGATAAGCTTTTTAGCCGCGATGTGCTCCATCGGCCTAATGCACTCCGCGGACCACAAGCTTGAATTCTGTCCCCACGGTGTGTGGTGTGGTGGTTTAAACACACGCCTTGTGGTATCGCCGAACTGCCCTGTCCGACTATCCGAGTCGTTTACATAATGCGACCGAATTCGAGGGCATTCCCTGCGTAGAACATGCAATGCAACGCACCCCCAGTCATTTGAACACTAGAGTGGGCCAACGCAAGTACCTAGTCTGTAAGTATTCACCAGTGCTGCAGATCCGCGGCAAGATCGTGTCATCAAGGTTGTCTTCAACAATCAACTCATGGACCTTCAACGACTAGCGTGCGCGATCAGTTTAATCACTCAGTCACATTGAATGTCCGACTCGGATTCGGAGGTAATTTCGAGCTCGGGATGCAGCTGCAAAGCCAAACCTTTATGGCCAATGTCGTCAATTCGGTAGTTGTATCAATAGCGCGATCAAAAAACCTGTAGATGACTCCATTTCCACGACATCATCGTGGAGATATAAGCAATTGGGCTCCGATTCCGGATGGAAAGATTCATCATCGTCTTTCCTCCAAGTCTTTGAGGCCCCCGTGGCGAAGGAAATTGTTCTCACGGAAACAACGCAACTCACGATCCATCGGTTCATTTATTTCCCAAAGATGATTCCTCGCACAGGCTCAATCCTACTGGCCGCCCTGTATGCTGGCTCTAGCTTTGCAGCAGCCGACTCTCAGCGGCCATTACTGAAGGACTTTGACGCCCTCGGCGCCTGGTTCGAAGAAGTAGCCGCCATCAATGCCACGAGACCTCAAGATGTCGAACAAGCCAAGAACACCACCATTGCCATCGTTGGCGCGGGCATCACTGGCCTAGCCACGGCTCTCATGCTTGATAGCGTTGGCGTACACAACTGGGAGATCCTCGAGGCTAGTCATCAAATCGGTGGACGTCTGCGGACTATCTATGTTGGAGGCACCCAAGAATGGGCGGAAATGGGCCCTATGCGTCTTCCCTACAAGATCAAGTACAAGAGCGACAATGCGACACTTGAGTACTCCGACCATGCCATGACGTTTCAGTTGGCAGATTGGCTCAATGAGATGAACCAAGGCAGCCAGCTCGATCTGAACATCAGTTTCATCCCCTGGATCCAGCACTCGCCCAATGAGTTGCTGGCACTAGGCACCGGGAGACATCCCGACGGAAGCATCCCCACGCGCGCCGAGATTGCCGCAAACTCCAGCCTTGGTAAACCGGCACCGATGGATACGCAGGAGTACAAGGACATCAAGGCAAAGATGAGCAACATTCTCCTCAACGAAGATACAGTCAGAGAGATCCAGAAGGACGTATGGAGAGTACATGGCCGAACTATGAAGAGCGGGCTTGACGACGTCAGCCAGCAGAGCATGATGCGCAACGTTTGGAACGCGAGTGCTGAGGTGGTGGATGCCATCCACGGCGCCACTGATTACGACGTCTTCTGGGATGAGATGCATCACAACTCCAACCTGGCACAGGATGGCAGCAAGGGTACTTTGGGCGAGACGGAATGGCGGTGCGTCGATGGCGGCTTCAGCCGCTTCTCGGACGCAATCCTGCCACATGTCCAAGATCGTCTCGTCCTGAACCGCCAGGTCCGGTCGATTGAGGCTGTCAAGGATGATCAGAACGCGGTCACAGGCACGAAGATCTCTTGGGTCGATGTTGATGCCAACAGAACCCAGACGAAGCCGACAGCTGAGCAGAGCAAGACCTACGATTACACCATGCTCGCGGTTCCTTTCACCATGACGCGGATGATGCGCCTGCCATCCTTCTCACCCACCCTCTCGCGAGCCATGGCTGAACGCGGTCTTCGCTTCAAGGACGCCTGCAAAGTTGGCCTGCTCTTCAGCGAACGCTTCTGGGAGAAGGGTGACCGTCCTATTTTTGGCGGTTACTCGACGCCTCCCGATGCAGCTGTTGGCGCTCTCTACTACCCAGTCTATGGCCACAACGAGTCGGGGCGTCCAGGCCTCATTTTGCACTACCGCGGAGGTGACTGGAGCAGCCGCTTCGCCAGCCTCAGCGAGGAGCAGCACGTGGGAATGGTCCTCGACGCCATTGCTTCACTCCATGGCGAGCACGTTCGGGACCTGTACACGGGCACCTACGAGCGGTTGTGCTGGTTGGACGAGCCTTTCATCGCCACGGCCTGGACACGCCCGGATGTGGCTCAGCACGCGTTGTACATCCCGTCATACCACCAGACTGAGTCGAACGTCATTGTTCTCGGCGAGCACACCGCGCCCACGCACGCATGGATTAGCTCTTCACTTTACTCCGCCGTTCGTGGTGCTGTTCAACTCTTGCTTGAGGTTGGTTTGGTCGACGAGGCCAAGCAGTTGAACCAACAGTGGATGGGACGATGGATCAACATGCAGTAGATCACATGTGTGTACGTCAAGATGGGAAGATTCAAAAAGTCGCGGATGAAAAGTTATGTTTTGGAGGAACATCACAAGATGAAAATCAGCGATGAAGTTCCAGGGTAATCTAGATAGCCACCGATACGCTTCTAATTCTGCAGACGTAATGAGATTATGATTCAACCCATGAAGTTTTGCAGCAAGTGACACGCTGGAATGATCAACGTGACAGGCTCACTCATTTTCAATTCCTAAATTTCATAGACCGTACTTTTGCTAGAGATGCGCTGTCCGGATGATAAAAGGTTGGTAATGGTGAAATAAATATTCAATTTATCTACACAAGAATTGGACCACCACTAAGAGTACCGCCAGCTTCCGGCACTTTCAAGATACCTTCATTCACCAGATCGATTGCCAGCCGGCTCAAAAGTCCATCACAGCCCTTCGCCGCCAGTATTCCCACAGTCACCGGCAGCTTCTCATCGTGGTTGGTAAGAGCGCTGAAGCTAGAGACCTCACCCACTGGATAGATCAAGTCCGGACATCCCGAAAAGACAGACATTCGGGCCGCCGAGAACCCAGTAAAAGGCGCCGGGAGGGCTATGTCGTATCGATTCCTCGGAGACTGCGTTCCTGTCTTACCAGCATATAAAATGAGGCCGGACGAGCATTGCAGGCTGTCATTGACTGGAGGTAGGATCTGGTCGTTGTACCAGTCCATGAACATTGTCTTGTTTTGCATGGCCTCATCCCAAGAGTAGTTGGCAGCCCAGGCCCATCGTGCTAGCGGGGATGGGTTGATGAAAGGCCGACGTCCGTCGAATTGCTTCGCATAGTCTGCGTAGAACGGCTGGACCACCGCATCGTCCTGACCCTTGCCAGTGAGCACTGGGTAGGTAATGTTGAAAGTCTCGGTGAAGTTGAGATCGGCGTTAGGGTTCGTTTCGCGCATGCCCCATTGCTGGGCCACATTCAGGGTGCTCACGTTGCCACCCACAAACTTGGCCAGAGCAGCCGCGAAATTGTTCAGAAGCACGCCTGCTTCGGTGCTGGAGTTCGGGTATGACACAGTCATGATCTTGGTCGGATACTTTGGCTGCAATGTCGCCAGAGAAGTGTAGTTGGAGCCATATGTTACAGCCTGGAGTTTGTCCCACAGCTTCGGGTCCCGAACGAGGAAGCCGACAGTATCAAGAGGCTCTGACAGCGGCATGATATGATCGGAGCTCACGGCACCGTGCGATGCCCTGTTGCCAAATACGCCGTTCACCCCTGCCGGACTGCGAATGCTGCCACCCGTGTCAGTTCCGACAGCAGCATCAAGCCAGCTGTAGGAACCAACAGAAGCACCTGCACCGGAGCTCGAAGAGGACGGGTCTTGATAGCCATCTCCCCTAGGGTTGAAGGGAGAATGGTAGTCAACCCAGTCAACAGTAGCAACCTCGCTCGTTGCAAACTGGGAGAGCTTCTGTGTGCCCACAATGATAGCGCCGGCTTCGATAAGCCTTGAGATGGCCGTTCCAGTGACGTTGTTCGCCGGGTATAAATGGTACCATGCGCGGTTCCCGTTCGACTGCTTGACTCCGGCCAGCGAGAAAATGTCCTTCACGGCAATGCGGACGCCAGCTAGGGGCTTGGAATCTGAAGGCTCGTAATACAAGCGCGAAGGCACGCCGATGGTGAAGGTAGCTGAACCGGGGATCTTGGCTGGCAAGACTTGAAAGGTGCCATCGTTATTGTATAGCAAGGCTTCGGTGAACGCACCGGCGGTATCGTCATAAAGCCGGTACGCTTGATGTAGGTCTCCGGTGGATTTTCGCAGGAAGTATGGCCCCTTCGGCACGTTGGAACTCGATGTAAAGCTGACCACTGTCGAAGGTGTTTCACCAGTAGTATGAATGGCTTCAGTTGTCGAGGTCTCCGCGTCACTTGTTTCGTTGAGGAGAAGCTGTGTAAACCCAGACTGGAATACGTCGTCGGTCTCGGTCCAAGCAGTGAAGATGCCGGAAATATTATCTGCTTGGCTCGCAGGCGCCGTTGGCAGGACGGCGACCGGAACGAAATCGAAGACACCATCGATACCTGCAGGAACATCCGATTGGAGGGAGATGTTTGCAGCGACGTGGGGGCTAATGAA